TCGGTCCCCGAATTTTCAAAATGCATGTTACACTGTGTCTAATCATAGTTCCACCCAAAGCAGCAAAGAAAAAGTTCCCCGAAACCAAACGGCTCTTTGCAGCTTAATTTAGAAAGAATGTTAAAACTAAGCTTGTATGTACCATGTTTAAATACAAAATAAGAATGCTCATTCAGGAAAACATTTCCATGTCTGGCAGAGAAAACGCACAGGGCGGGCCTTGGCTCTGACCCATACGCTCTTTGAAATCTGACTGTCTGGTCCCCAATCCTTTATCTGGCAAGTGGAGGCTCTTCCTTAGTTATCATTTGACTGGTGGACAATACAGAGTTTCCTCCAGAGGCTTCTGTTCTTGCATTTTAGCGGGACTAACCTTTGAAATAAAATCTGTGATGTTTCTCGCCAGAATTAGCAAAAGACCAAATTTCTCTAAGAACACAGCCAGCAGTAGTGCTCTCCCCCAAGCCTTACTCTCGAAACGAGAGAGGAACACAGGGAAGTGAGTGAGAAGACCTGCAAGTCCAAGGTGACAGGCCCTTCCTTGAAAATATGTGGTGTATCTGATTTGGGGGTGGAGGTCATGCATTTCAGTAAGGTAATAAGTACTTTTTAAAATGTGAAAGAGTGATTCTGAGACTAGGAAAAGGCTCACTTGCCATCTCTGCCTCTCCTGACTCACTAGTTGTAAATGGAGCAGAGGTAACTTTGATCACAATAGGAAATTCTCTTGGCCTCACTAACCTGGTTTGATCATCTTTGTTTTCAATGAGAAGTCACGGTTCAAACATAAAGAATTGAATTTGCAGAGCTAATTGAGACAGTAGTAATTAAAGGTTATTCCCTACTGAGTGGACTAGTGGAGCCTTGGAAGTTCAAAGCAAAAGGAATCTTGGGTTTCTGCAAAGATTCTTTTTGGAGGCTTTGGGAGTGAGAGTGAATGTTGGAGAAGGACAGAAAGGAGAGGAGAGCAGGAGGCATCCCTTCAGAATGCGTGCTCTGTGCGCCATGACTATGCAGGACCAGCGCTCCTTCCTCTGCCACTCATGTACACACTCTCTGCCCTGTCACTATCGCTGTGTCTCAGCAGTAAACCCTCTGCTGAGTCTTGAAATGGCAGGCACCCCTAAGCATGCTGCAAGCAGCTGGCCCTTTCCCCCTCCTCTCTGCCCACCTAAAGTCGTCCTGGGGTTGCATTTGTTATTCAGCATCTACATAACTCCAGGCAGCTCAGCTATGCTTAGAGGGAAGAGAAGACAACATTCTTCCCTACTCACTGGTCGGGGGAACTCAGGAACCCACAGCCTGGCTCAGCGGCTCTACTTCTTCTGGAGTCACCGACCTGTGTCCGCTGCCTTGGCTGCTCGTTAGCCATCTGACAGTGTCTTCATTAACACCCCTACTCTGGAGCTGTCCATGGGCATGCAGCCCCAGAGTTACTTAACTTCCCCCCTGCCCTTTCTCTCCAAGTCACCGTCCACCCCTGGGGGTCAGAGAGGAGCCTGGATGCTGAGCCAAGGCCAACTAAACTCATTCCATTGGGTTACTGGTATTCTGGGTTTCAGAAACTTTCCTGAGAATTACAGCGAATATCGATGGAGCATAATTGTGTACCAGGCCCTATGCCAAGCGCTTTACCTCATCCCATTTAGTCCTCACAGCAGCCCCATGAGATAGGTATACTAGTTCCTCCATTTTACAGACTGAGGCCTGGAGAGGGTAAATCGCTTGTCCAATAGAAAAGGTGGCAGAGCTGGGATTTGTACCCAAGTGATCCGAAGTCTGAGCTTTCTTGAACTTGGCTTTGAGCCCAGCCCCAGGGCCTGTGCCCCCTGCCCTGTGCCATCTCTCTTCAGGCCATGGGTACTGGAATTACTGCACTTCGGAGGGCTCAGTCTACCAGGGGTGAGAGGCCACAGGTGAGGATAATGGGGGCCTTCCCCAAGGCCCCACTTCAGATGGAGCTGCCCAGATCCTCCTCAGGCCCAACCCCTCAGAAAGGGAAGATGGCAAGTTCACTGCCTCCGCAATTGTCCGGTGTTCATGACTGCCTACGCTAAAGCTTATCCTTAAGATAGAAAGCATATCAGACCCAGTAGGGCTTAATCCAGCCTTCTCTAAGGCAGATGTGAGTCCCCCTTCTCTACCCTCTCCATATTTGCCAAAACAACATTATGTGCCTCCTTGGTCTATTTCCCCACAGCTGCCCTCTTCCCCTGTGCTGTACAGCCTGCCTCAAGGATCAGATTCCAGGCTTTTTTTGTTCTTATTCCAACTGGCCTCTGTCCACATCCCTCCTCCCCATGAAACCGCACTCCCAGCTCTGCAGATCTGAGTGCGGCTCAAATGCACGTGCACTGAGGACACTCTAGCCAGAGGCTGCCTCTTGCTATCCCCACTCTTCCACAGTTCAACTCCCATCTCCTTGACAGATTTCTTTTTGCCTTTGAGTAAATGTAAGATCTGTACTGCAGTCGTGAATAGTAAAACTGAAGTAAGTCCTAACCCTGACTTTTGCAACACACCAAGGTATCTCCAATAATCTTCGGGGATAAGGGACATTAGATTATGCAAACAAAATTCATTATGCCTCAGTCTGATTAAACATCAAGACATATCACCCAGCCCGGAGGGAGGGCGGGAAATCCAGTGATGCAATTTGGGGTCATTAAAACCTGAGAAACTATGGGTGTTGCAACTCCAAAAGGAGTTAAAGATCCCTCCTTTAATAATTTCAGGTCCACATCCCTTATCTGTAACTTCCAGTCCAAGAAGCTATAAAGACCAATTTTACTTTTGTAAATTTGGTGCCAAATTTTATGTGGGGGCAAACGTTAACTCTGGACTTGCTTAAATGTTGACATTTCTCTGCAAAAGTAATGAAATGCTGCCTCAGATTCCACTGGAGGGTTGTGTGACATTTGGCATTTGTACCACATTACCTTCCTAAAGTCCCAAATGTTCTCATTTTGGAAACTCATCAGGCCCCGGAGGTTTCAGGTCCAAGCCCACAAGGCTGAGCCTGTAGTGTGTGCTGGGCACCGCCCTAAGCAGTTTCGAGTTAGCTTCTCCTTTGCCTTTCCAATGCCTATGTGAAGGGGACTACTCCTTTTCCCATTTTCAGCTGAGGCCCAGGGCTTGAGTAACACTGCTCACAGGAACTGAATCAGTCAGCATCTGTAACCAGACATGAGCCTCTGATCTGTCTGCCTCCAGTGCCCTTGCTCAACCTCCCATGCTAAACAGCTGCCTCAAAGTCACGTGGCATTTGCCTTTTACCTTATGTGGACATGAATGGTCCATTGAACTTGAATAGTTCACTCCACTGGTAAAGCAAAATCCCCCAAGTAGAGAGATGCTGGTCTGTACATAAAAATGAGTCCCTATATAGAAGGCTGGATTTGACCTTTCCGCTTACTCAAGAGTTTGTGTCTCATCTCACATTTAGAAATAACTCCTTTAGAAAACTCAGACTTAGGCCAGGCACAGTGACTCATGCCTGTAATCCCAGTGCTTTGGGAGGCTGAGTTGGGAGGATCACTTTAGCCCAGGAGTTTGAGACCAGACTGGGAAATATAGTGAGACCCTGTCTCTAAAGAAACAAACAGACAAAAATCAAAAAAGCCCCCAAGCCCCTCACAAGACCCCAAAGATCCAGATTCAAATGAATGTCCAGTTTTTCCATTGTAACCATTATCCACAAGCTAGTAAATGCCATATCATAGGTAATCACTGTTCCTGAGGCTCAGCTTGGCCATCAGTAAAACTTGGGAAATTTGCTTAGCCTGCTGGAAGTGAGAAACATGTTTTTCCCCACCATTGGGGCCACCATCTGTCCTTCCACAGTGGTTCCAGCTCTTGCCTCAAACACTCACTTTTTTCTTTATTATTTTTCTCTCCCCTGGAAGAGTGACCAGTCCTGAGTTCTTAGGTCTTAGAGTTAAAGGGGAGAGGCTATAAGAAGAAACAGGAGAACTGGAGACCCCCCGCTTGGAGGCCTGGAAGAATACCAGGTAGAGAACAATGCTAGGGAGAGGAGTCCAGTGAGAGTGCCAGGGAGCCAAGTGAGATCCCCATCCTGCAGGGCAGGGATGGCCCTTTCCCCTTTCCCATCAGGCTGGGAGTTGTTCAGGAGGGGGAGGGCTTAGAGCAGAAGGAACCCGCAAGGCTCAGAGGCCACACAATTCCTGTCAATCTCATGGTGGGTATGGGGTTTGGAGAGAGCGCAGCTCATGTCTGTTCTTCCACAGCTACTGGATTTTAGAACCACATCTTAGCCCCATGAAACAGATCTGGGAGCGCAGGGTCAGAAGGTAGAGTCCTAGTGATAGCAAACCCCTTATCAGCACGTACTGTATGCCAGGCCCTGTACAAAGTGCTTTAGATGTATTAACACACTTAATTCCCAGGCAACCTGTCATCACCTTCACTTGTAGAGAAGGAAGCAATTAAGAGGTGACAGTGGAAACAGAAGGCTCCAGAGGCAGTGCCCCATGCATGGGTGTGTGAGCGTGGGCTCTGTAGCCAGATTGCCTGCTCTGGCCCCAACTTGCTGTGTGACTGTGGGCAACATTGGTTACTTCTCTGTGCCTTTTCCCCCAACTCTCAAGGGAATGGTAACAGCCCCTACCTCTGAGGATTAAAATGAGAAAAGGCAGGTGAAGCACCAGGTCCCATGCCTGGTCTCTGGGCACAGGCCAGCACGGGCTGGAAAGGCAGCTCTTGGTGGCAATAGCACCCCATTTGGGGAACTCAGCTTCTTGCCCCTGTTGGCAAAGGTCACTTGATCCCTTTATTGTGCTCCTAGCCACAGGGAGCTTGGCTGCTTGGTCTTTCTCCCGAACGTTTTCTCCAGCCCCACCTAGGTCATTGGTTGGGTATGATTTGCATGATCCCAATCATTAAGAATTCTCCCCCCGAGCCAGATGATCCAGCTCTGGGACAACACAATCAGTCTACAAAAATGTACCCAGTTGAAGACAAAACAAAACAGAAAGGCTCACAATGATAGCTGGTGACACGTCTCCAGGCTGAGGATCTTGCCTGCTAGTGAAAGAGTTCCCGTGTTGATGCTGGGGCTTCACCGAGCTAGCTGCAGAAGTCCATGCAAACAGATGGCAACAGCCCTATAATAAAATCAAACCAAAGTACTCCTGAACTGCAGACCAGGGCCCGAGCCCCAGGTGGCCTGCCGTGTCCTGCCTGCTTTGCCTGTCTCCACACCGCTCCCCCGACCACCCCCATGGGAACTCTGCTTGCCGTGTGGTCTATCAAATGACCAGCTTCCTGGTGTTAAGCACTCTGCATGGTTACGCTCCAGGAAACCTGGATGGAAAAGACGCAACCTCTGTACTCTAGGGACTGCCACAGTCATACTCATACAGAGCTCTTGAATAAGAGGTCAGCCCCTGACAGGTGCTTTCCTTGGCCAAGCACTTTATGTTATCTCCTCCTTGACCACTCTCCAGAAGAGGGAGAAGAGGGAGACACAGTGGGAAATGGAAGTACTGAGGACAGTCACGGAGAAGCTTCCTGGAGGGGATGGTGCCTGAGCCTAAGGAGCTGCAGGTGTTGGACAGGAGAGAAAATGCAGGAAGCGATGGCCAGGCCCAGGGAACGGCCGGAGTAAAGGCTGAGACCACATAGTGTAGGCCAAGTGCTGCAGGCGCTTCTGGGTTATAGAAGTGCAAGGCAGGGCCTGACGGATGCTGAAGGGCCCAGGAGGCTGGGGGGGGGGGCAGCTTACAGGCCTCTGGGGACTTCTGAGCAAGTGTAAAACATGATCAGGCCACTGTTTTAGCAAGATGGCTCATAGAGCAATGGATGGTTTATTGGGAGAGACCAGTTAAGGGTCAACTGTATGCATTCAGACAAAGAATCAAGAGGACCTGGACTTGGGCAAGGATGAGAGGAATGGGAAGCAGGGATGGTAGATGGTGACTGAGTGTTCTGTGTAGCCAGACGTGTGACCTGGCCCCATGGAGCCTCCTTGTATTTACACCCTCATGAAGTCTCCTCTGGCTTACATCTAATGAACAGAATACAGCAAAAGTAGTGGGATGTTACTTCCCAGACTAGGTCATGGAGACTGTGACTTCTGACTTACTGGCACTATCCCTCCTGCCTCTCCCCACATTACCCAGCTTCACTGGCACACTCTCTCATGCTCACTCAGATGAAGCCAGCTGTCATGTTTTGAGATGCTCTGTGAAGAGGCCATGTGGCAAGGAACCGAGGGAGGCCTCTGGCCAATAGCTCATGAGAAACCGAGGCCTCAGTCCAACAACCTGCAAGGAACCGCTTCCTGCCAGCAACCACATGAGTGGGCTTGGAAGCAGCTCCTTCCCAATTGAGATGACTGCAGCCTTAGGAGATACTCGGCCAGAAGACTCAGTTAAACCATGCCAGGATTCCTGACACCCAGAAATCAGGATGTGGGGTAACGTATGCATATAGTTTGAAGTTGGTGCATGGGGTAATTTGTTATGCAGCCACATATAACTAATACAGGCAGGGGTCGCAGCAATGGAAACTCGGAACTGCACTAGACACAGGTGGAATCAGCCGCATTTCGTGATTGAAAGGCCTGGAGGAGATGAGGGAGGACAAGAAGTCAAAAGTAATTTCAAGAGCACAGGCTCTGGAGTGAGAACACCTGGCTTCAAGTTCCTGCGCTGTCCCTTGCGAACTATGCGGCTCTATGCAAGTCTTTCAACTCTCTGAGCTTCAGTTTCTTCATTTGTAAAATGGAGACGATTAGAGTCACTACCTAACAAGTTCCTTTCACGGCCTGCCTGAGTATCCAGTACAGTGACGAACGGCACGCTGAGGTTGCTCAGCAAAAGTTTGCTGTAGCATTTTCAGAAGGCTCAGTGTTTATCCTTCTGCCAGCAGGGACAAGATTTAAATGCTTCAGTGCAATTTCCTTACACATCTTAAGAAGGCTCCACTAGTCTCGCTATGCAGCCCAGTGCAGGGAAGGCATTTCTGTATTCAGACTTGTCCTCCCTAGCTCCCTCCACCGGGAGCACCTTGTGGGTGCAGCTTTCCTTCCAGGGAAGTTGGGTGACCTGAACAGGCACTGAAACAGTAACCTTGGCCTCATTAACACTGTGCTTTTAACCACACAGGATTAGCTGACTTCAGTAGACTTTTTCAGAGTCATTTCCGGTCTCAGAGAGAACTATAGCCTGGATTTGCCCTCCAGAGCCAGATATTGGCAGCATGAAACACAGTTGTTATTTCCAAAACAAAAGAACACAGCCAGATAGGAGATTGTCTTACCTGTCTAGGCAGAACAGGCATGGGATCTGAGGCCACTGATCGCTGAAAACGCTGGGGTTGCTGCATCATCTGCTGCAGAAGGAATGAAGAATGGTCAGGCTGCTGTTGCTGCTGCAAGGTGGCGGTGGCCGTAGAGGAGGCAGTGGCTGAAGATGCCTGTGTTGGTGTCGGCTGCTGCAGGTAGTGGAGCAGGGAAGGCTGCCTAGAGGTGGCAGGCATGGAGGGCATCTTCTGGGGAGCCGGCTCAGAAATAAAATGGGACAAGGGCTTAGTGTTGCCAAAAGTAAATGGCTCTGTGGCTCCTGGGTTGGAGCTTGCCATCCCTTGCTGCATGATCATGCTCAGGGTTTTGGATGAGCTGCTGGTCATGGGCTTAAAGATTGCATTTGCTTGCTGCTGTTGCTGCTGCTGCTGTTGCTGGCTTAGAAGATTACTGGTGGGGGTGAGGCTTCGGATCAGGGAGCACTGTGGGGTGAAGGACTGCTGCGGCAAGCCTGGGCTGGAGAGCTTCTCTGGGCGATAGGGTGGGGACGGCCCAGGGTTGCTGGTGGGCAGAGCGGACATCAGGTGTCCTTGGGGGGTTTTGATGGTAGAGGACACTAGGTTGGCAAGAAGGGAGCTCTGTGGGCCAAACTGTGGCTGTTGAGTGAGAGCAGGGCTGGGGAGCTTCTCAGGAGCATAGGGCATGGGGGGCCCCAAGGCAGCATTGCTGCTGGACGTCATGCTTGACAGTAAGGCATTGGGAGAGCCTTGAAGAGTGCTGCCCGACAAGGTGTTGGACGACATGCAGGACACCATGAGGCTCTGGGGGCTGAATGGGGGTGGGGGTGCTGGCAGCGGCAGTGGTGGTGGGTGTGGTGATGGCACCGGGCGGTAAGGTGGAGACAGTCCTGGAGGAGGCAGACCAGACCAACTGGGCGTGGGCCCCTGCTGCTTTGTAGCAGACCCCTGCTTGCTGGCTGCCAATGCCTTCAGCTGGTGGGCGTGATGCCACTGAGGCACTGGTAAGGGGGGCAGAGTGACAGGGAGCATGGCCTGGACCTGGCTCTTGGACTGTGCCATTGAAGAACTCGGTGACATCATCTGCTTACTGGTGGAAGGAATGGAATAGCTGATCCCCGTGCAGGAGGGTGGGATCTGAAGTGACACACCAGTAACTTGGCTGCAGCTAGAAGCAAAGTCCTTGCTGGAAGCCAGGCTCTCCAAGTGCGACATCTGAACTGAAGGCTTGGAAGTTGTGCTTAGGGTTGCCTGGGGATGATCTAAAACCAGTGGCTCTTCTGGCTTGGTCCCCAGTATCTTCTCAAGATCTAGCTCATTCACAGAAGGGTCTTGAATTTTGGTGAGCTCATCTAGCAGCTCCTGGAGTTCCTGGTCTACAGCCGGCACGTTGCTGGTCTTCTCATAGTAAGGAACAGCTGGCCCTTTCAGTCCCACCTCTGTAGTCGGTGGTACCACAAATGGTGCGCCCATGATGCTGCCGTTCATAGGGTTGTTCTCCAGCAGTAACGACTGGCCCCCCACTCCCATAGCCGCAGGGCTAGGATTCATTGTCAATGGAGGGACCTGCAGCTCTGCACAGGCAGTACCAGGATGGGTTCCCGGGCCCATAGCAAGGGTGACATCTTCAAGGCAAGGCCTCTTAATTTTATTAGGGTAGCCCCCATCAGCCATGTCTGGAAACTGGAAGTGGTCTTCTTCTTGTCTCCTCTTAACAGTTCCCTGTGATTGAAAGAGAAGAGAAGATGGAGGAGAGGAGAGGGAAGGAGAGGAGAAGAGAGGAGAGGAGAGGAGAGGAGAGGGGAGGGGAAGGGAGGGGAGGA